CCATGTGTCTGGATATAATTAGCAAAACACTATGTAGTTGCAGAGCTAGAAGTCAGTCTACATATGGTGTTACAGTAAAGGGGATGTAGGGATGCATGATGCTTTGGGATTCAGACCAGACCAGCAAGGGGTTGTGTCACTGCTTGCCTTGTAGCTCTTGGTACCTTAAATGCTATTCTGCTGTGGCTCTCAGCTCTGATACCAACAGCCAGCAGACAAGCATGCAGGTTACACCCTGACTTCTACTGCCCCGGTATTATTTTTTTTTGCAAGTGACCCCAACAGCCACCCAGTCCCAAATTTCCCCAAAACCATCTACCCTGTGACACACTGCTGAGGTTTCCAGAGCCAGTGCTGGTGCTAGGCATAAGCAGGCTAAGCAATTGCTTAGGGCCCCAAGCTCAAGGGGGGACCTCCATTCTCTTTTGTGTGTGTGTATGGGGGGGAAAGACACCCAAAAATATTCCTGTTTAGGTCTCCAGTGGGCTAGCACTGCCTCTGCCCATAATTGTGAATTACTGTGTTTCTCACTTGCTGAGGCTGAGAAGGGAATGTTGCTACTGCCAAGCTCTGTGACAGCTCCCTGACACACCAGCTTGTCTGCCCTTGCCAGCAAACTCTTCAGGACTCTGCCAGCCCAGATCTTGCCTCGCAGATAACCATTAGTGAACCCCAACTCCTGAGTTCCCCAGAGACTTCTCCCTGCCATGTCCCACCCTCGCCTGGAACACTCAGAAGTTGTTTGTTGCTCCTTTAAAGAGACAGTACACTGCAGCTCAGTAATTTAACTGGGGTTTGATAAACACTCTTGTTTCAATCGCAGCACTGAATTGGTTTCTAGTGAAAGTAAAGCAAGTTTATTGAACAAAGTCAGGTTTAACTGATATCAAAAGGAGTAAAGAGAGAAATGGTTACAAACTAACAGTAAAAATATGCTTCTAAGGATGTGTCTGCACTTAAAATGCTACAGTGTCACAGTTGCACCATAGTAGCACTTCCATGTAGACGCTACCTAAGCTGAAGGGAGACGTTCTCCTTCGGACTACATAATCTACCTCTCCAACAAGCAGTAACTAGATCGATGGAAGAACTCTTCCGTCAACCTAGCGCTGTCTATATGGGCACTTGGGTTGATTTAACAATGCCACTCGGGTGTGGATTTTTCACTGACCTAATTTTCTAGTGCCTAAAACTAAAATTTAACTTCAGCAAGGTGCAGTCTTTGCCTGAGAAGGCTTCTCACCTATATTCAGTTTCCAGAGACTTCAGCCCACTTGGTTGAAGGATCCAGTGTTCCTGTGATTTCAAGAGCTCTGGCCCCTTGATTCCCCCAAGTGATGGACAACTATGGGGTTCTCTCCCTTTGTTTTTATAGTTCAGTAACTTTTGAAATATGTTCTTTGAAATGTAAGCCCAGACCAAGCTAATTGACTTTGGCTCAAGAGGCAGGCAGATTTCCTGCTGTTCTTCTCTTCCTCTTGGCTTCCCATCTCCTTGCTGATTTGTATGTAAATGGGGCTTGATTGTTTTGATTCTGTAATGCTTAATTTACATTGGAGACAGGTAGACAGCTACCTTCCCTCCTGTCTGGGAGAGAACCTGTTTCTCACTGTATTTAGTCACAGACTTTAAATCTTATTTGTGAGTATCCATAATTCCTCATATTGTGTTGATGCATACATTTCACAATGAGATTAATCACCAGTGTCAGGTAGTCTTTTATGAAAGCCTGTTACTTGATACACTTTTATAATACAGTAATACTGTATACAGTCAGTTTGATTCAATTGCTTATCCTTTGAGATTCGGCCCCTGTGTCTTTATAGCTAAGAGACTGTCTCTTCCACTCCATAGTTCAGGGGTGGGCAAACTTTTTGGCCCAAGGGCCACATTGGGGTTGCAAAACTGCATGGAGGGCTGGGTAAGGAAGGCTGTGCCTCCCCAAACAGCCTGGCCTCTACCCCCTATCCGACCCCTCCCACTGACTGCCCCCCTCAGAATCCCCGACCCATCCAACCTCCCCTGCTCCTTGTCCCCTAACTGCCCCGGGACCCCACACCCTTACCCCTTTGACAGGCTCCCCGGGACCCCACGCCTGTCCACCCCCCCCCCGTTTCCCGTCCCCTGACCCCTATCCACACCCCTGACAGGCCGCCCCCCCCCGGACTCCCACACTTATCCAACCCCCCCGTCCCCTGACTGCCCCCCAGAACCTCCACCCCATCCAACCACCCCCTGTCCCCTAACTGCCCCCTGGTCCAGGCCCCCTTACCATGCTGCTCCGAGCAGAATGTCTGGCAGGCGTGCCGCCCGGCTGGAGCCAGACACGCTGTCATGCTGCTCGGCAGGAGCACGCAATCCTGCTGCCCAGAGTGCTACCCGCGTGGCTGCGGGGGAGGGGCCGGGAGCTCAAGGGCTGGCAGGACGGTCCCACAGGCCGTGGTTTGCCACCTCTGCCCTAATTTGATGGTTTGACAAGCTGGTGTTTCAAGGAGTTGTCACAGAGCGTAGCAGTAGTGAAACTTTCACTTGCTGAGGCTGAGAAGGGTAACACAGCAACTCACAATGCTGGGAAACCCAGCAGAGTGTCACAGGGCAGAATGTTTTGCAGGAATTCGGGACTGGGAGGGTGTTGGGATCGTTCAGCGAACAGTACCTGGTTGGTGGAAATCAGGGTATGACCTGTGTGCTTGTCTGCTGGCTGTGGTGATGTCTGGGCTGAGAGCCATAGCAGAATAGCATTTAAGGCACCCAAAGTTGCAGGGCAGGTGGTGACCCAACGTCTCACTAGTCTGGGCTGAATCCCAAAGTGTCACAGGATGTGTGGTGCAAGCTTGCATCGTGGTTTGTTTTACCCTAACTTCAACAGGAGATGAAGGTGCTCACCCCTCTGCAGGTTTGGATCCTGTTGTGGTGAGAGCTGGGTGGGTCCTTTAGCCTTTTTATTTATTTATTTATTTTTCTCCTCCCCCCGCCCCCCTTCCAAAAACGTATGTCCTCCAGCCATGAAAAAGTCTGCATATCACACGTTCATGCACTTCCATGAGTTGTTTTTAGGGTGACCAGATGTCCCGATTTTTATAGGGACAGTCCCTATTTTTGTGTCTTTTTCTTATAGGCACCTATTACCGCCCATCCCCATCCCAATTTTTCACATTTGCTGTCTGGTCACCCTAGTTGTTCTCAGGGTGGGAAAGAAAGAAAGGGCTTGTTGAGCCTTTCTCTAAACATAAATATTTGTCACCTCATAAACAATCCTCTGAAATGTTGTTTACATTCATGTGTTTATTTTTTTTTTTAAAGATAGTAAAGCACTTTATGTCCACAAATGCATACACACTCTTCAGCCTCTTCCAGAAACTCTGTCTCCAGCTTAGAAGCAGGAAGAGAGCTCTTGTTTTTGCTCTGTAGCCACCAAGCCATCCACTCAGCTTCAGAGGTTTGCTTTCCATTATAACAGTTCTGCTGCAGTTCTTGCAATATAGAAAAATTCAGACTAATCGGGGAGAGGGGTTCTGACCAGAGGTGAGGTACATTTTCATAATGTTGGTTTCCCCTTCCTATGTTAAAAATAGCTCAAGTGTTGCTTTGTCTAAATATTCTGCTACTGTGATAACTTGTCTGTTACTGAGTCAACAATAGGTGCACTTGTGGGTTTCACATAGGATAATACAGCAGCGAGCCTCACCTTTTCTGTAATGGTAACAGATTGTCTTAATTGGAACCAGCCAGTTCCACTATCTAATGTACAATAGAGTTTGATTTGCTCTAAATTGAGAATCAGAGTTGGTTTTGGAATAGCCAAACATTGTTGCGGTTTGGTGTGCGCACAACCGAATGGGAGGCAGATAGGAGTGCTCAGGAACGGAATCCGTAACAGACTCGTATCTAAGGGAAGAGAGCACCTAAATATAAAATATGGGGGTGGGGGTGAGTAATATGCTATGCTGTGTCCCCTTTCTCTTCTCCCCGCCCCCCTCTCCCCCATGTGCGCAAAGTTACAGAGCCTTATGTAAGGAAAGAAGTAGCACTTATTGCGGTTGGTCATCTTGTAGAGACAGTTTGTGGACAATGGCAAGCTTGAGATGGTGTCTGCCCTGCTTCAGTGTGGTGTCACGGTAGCCAGTTGGGGGAGAGGATACATAAGAGCTCAGAATGACTAGGCTGTTTAAAAACTTTTTTGTGTCATTATACAACTGAGCTAAACACTGCACTCATGATTGACTTAAAATGTACCTTGCTATAAAGTCACAGAAAATTTGTAAAGTCTGGGAGATCTGTTTTGGCAGTAGGTGCTCTGCTTCGCTCTGATAAACAATCTTTATCAGCATTGCACTCTAGGAGCTTAGTCTCTGTGTGTTTTTAAACTGCTTATCTTTCTCAGTGTGTATGGGGAGCAGAGAGTGAAGTAAGAGTAGAGAAAACAAAATAACCAACCACACACAATCTGAATAACTCTTTTGCAAAGTCTTTCTAGTTCCACGGCAAGTGTATGATGAACAGAATCTTCTAGATCTTTGGTTTAATAATTCTGGACTTCTTACAACTGATGTCTAGATTGTTTTGATGTCAAAATATGAACAAAAATATATTTTCTGAAGTTACATACCAAAGTTACCTATCACACAGCATGTCCAGCTGGTGCTACAGATGGCTAGCTGCTGTGATCCAGAAATTTGGCATTTTTAAATCCCCAAATCTGTTTTATTTAATGTTACGAAGGTCAGAAAATCAGTAACATTGTTTTACATCTTGTCACTAAATGTTAATACAGCAAGATTAAACAATTGCGGTGTTCACTAGGCCTGGCTGGAAACTTTATAATGCCTTTTCATGGGAAGAAATATTTTAGTAGTTTTTATATTAGACTTTGACAGTAGGATTACAAATCCCTTTCCTTGGAGCGGAAAAATGAACACTGTTTTACAAAGTATTTGCTTCCAGATTAAAAATAAATAAAATTTAATTTGACTTTTTTTCCCCCCCCCCTCCCTCTCCAGATCTTCTTCCACCGGGAGTCTGCAATCTCCTTAACCCTGCAGCCATCTACGCAAATAATGAGATCAGCTTGAGAGATGTTGAGATCTATGGCTTTGATTATGATTATACATTAGCACAGTACTCTAATTTATTACATTCTATGATATTCAACACTGCCAGAGACATACTAATTGAACAGTACAAGGTAAACTTCTGATAATAGGATGGTTTCTTTCATTAATCTTGCTGCTTTCTTTTCCCCAAAATCTTTTAGTAGAGCATTCTCTGGAAAATTTGCTTATTACCTCTGTGTATGTATACATTATCTATGGTAGTGATAGCTATGTAATTATATATTTCATGAACCTGGCACTCTGTCTGATAATCCATTTCCCTTGGGACTTACTGTAACATTGCAAATGTCTGATCATCTTCAAAGAGTTGCCACTTCTTAAAAAAACAAAACACAAAAAACATTGCCACCATATTTTTTATATATATAAATATGGTAGCAATGTTATTTGTGTTCTTTGTTCTTTGTTTTATACATACATCCTCCTAACCCCAAATCAGAAGATGGACAACAACCAATCCTGGGCTAATGATGGTCCCTGTAGTCCTAGAAACAGATGACTTTATTTTTATAGTTAAGAATATCAGCCAGGTAATAGTTATATGGGACTTAATACGTTTTCTAGACTAAGTTCTTAAATAGGCACATCCAATGATACGATGATACAGTGTATGTTCTCTTGTCTTGTTTTATTTGACAAGTTAGCAGCGCCTTTTGTGTTTAAGAAAAGAAATACAAAGCTGGGTACTTCAATATATGCAAATTTCTATAGGTGTGTGGCTGAAACTGCAATATTTTCCCTAGTGTCCTAACCATGTCACACAATGGTTTTGCAATGGCATTTCCCCCGGTCATTTTAGGGCTTCAGGTCCATTCATTTTCTCTTTCTCTCCACCCCCTCTGTGCCTCACCCGTTCTTTCACAATGGAGCAAAACTAAGTGGTGGGACATAGGACAGCCTGTAACAATTCATTTAAAATTGGGATGGAGGATTCTTCCAGAAAATGGAAAAAAAAATTATGAAAAGAACCAGTATATTTATGCCAGGATTTTCAAAAGAGCCTGAGGAGTTAGGCATCTTCACTCCGTGGTTCTCTTTTTAAAGAATTCCAGCCTATATCTTCTGCCATATTAGGATCTCTGAGATCGTAGTGATGGGTACGGGATAAGTATTTAGTATGATTCTTTAGGGAACCTGACTAATGCATACAGCATAGGACACTTACAACCTTCAGAATGAATAGTCTGCTCACCGCAGGTTAACAGACATGTGGCGTCTGACATGATGAATATGGCTTATAAATAAATCACTGACAATACAAAAAGGCAGTCTGTGTAGAATTTGTGGGTGTAGGATGACAGATGCCAGGAATTTTAAAATGGGGAATGTATGATATTGACTAATAATATCTATCATTACTAGGGCTTGGAAAACATAGCAGACACCTACTAGCCAGAGGTAGCTGTGAAAGACCAGGTGGGGAGAGAATCTGTATTTGCAAGGTCCAGGGGGAACACTCTGGTGAAGAGTCCCAGATGCTGGGAAGGGTGGAGGGTATTAGGATATCTATCTCATTGTCTAGCATGAGTTCTAGCTAGAAAGTATCTGAAACTTGAAACTCCACTCCCTCTAGTAGTACTCTACCCATTTGCCAGCTTCCTATCTGTGATTAAGTGAGAAAGCGTGGGCAGTAGAAAGCTCTGATTCATCAACCTCTTTCAAGCCCCCTACCCCATCCCCCCTTCTTAATAATTTTTCATGTTTAGGTGGGGGGGGGGGGAGTGTCGTCCCCCAGGGAGTAGCTCCAGTGTCTACCTATGCTCGTTTTTTTGGGAGGGTGGGGTTGGGGGAAGGTTTAAGCTTTTTTTCCAAAACTGCAGGAGCATGAAACTGACAAGCTTCTTTCATTTCATTGCTGCTCAGAAAAGACTTCAGCGATGTTAATTTTGCTTGGTGGCTGCTTCACAGAGCACTGAGCAACAGCAAATACAATGCAATTGTCTATCTGCACACCTGGGAAAAGAGCCCTGAGGTGTTTCAAATTTTGAAGTTAATCATAATGAGCACAAAGATTTAGAAATAGCTTCTTTTTTTATTAAAATGAAATAAAACTCCAAAAGTTTAAATCATTCAGAAATTGGTGGCTTAATATAGCTTTTTCTCATGCACTTTGGGAAAAACCTCCCTTATATGATGAGTTTGGTAAGTGGATTTCAAGCCCGTCTCAAGATACAGTTACCCGTTTTAGGGCACTAGCTGTTTGGTGTAGGAGTCAGGGATCAATTGCCCAAGCAAACATTCCAGTTTGTAGAATCCCAAATCTTGGTAGTTGCATTATTGTTTTTTGGCATCTTTTGGTTCACTTAGGCCACTGTTGGATGGAGGGTACTGGGATTTGATGAGGTAGGGGGCTGATTGAGTATGCCAAATTTTTCATTCTCTTTTCAACTGGAAAACTTTTTAAAATACCTGGCACAGCTTCACTGAACTAACTGCTTTCTCATGAAATATTTTCCAGTATCCAGAAGGACTCAAGAAATATGATTACCTTCCAGGATTTGCTATCAGAGGGCTTCACTACGATGTGCAAAAGGTGAATTACACAAATTTAAATGTCATATTTGCTTTCCCTTGCACGGTATTAATCTGCCTGTCACATAACTCAGTCCCATCTCTTTCCTGTAATGACAACTGATGGAACAGCTTTCAGGAGACTATGCACTGGGGATTGTTGTATACGTCCCTGCATAGGTTCTCTTAGATTGTAAGCTCCTTGGGACAAATGGAACTAATCTAAAAGGCTGGCTACAGGACGTCTTTTCTCTCTCAGTATTTTAATACCTTTTAAATCATTGACAGCTATGTAGCTACAGCCTTTACTCACTGAAGAGGTTTTTTTCCTTTCACTACTTCCAGTATTGGAAATAGAGGGCCAGAACAATTCATTAAGCTTTGTAGCTTCTCAGACATTCCTTCTGGAGGCTTAGGAGCACACGAACAAAGTGCAAGCTTTTGTTTTAATCCTCCTTTTTCAGTAACTTTAGACAATCACGTACAAGTATAGTTCTGAAAAATATGGCATCACCTTGCTGCAGTTAAACAGCTTATATTCAGTAGGGAGACAGACAATTACTGGTACAAGCTAGTCTTATTTTGATAGTCTGGTTTTCTGAACCAATTAAGTGTATTCAATCAATTCAGTGTAACTAGAGAATGCACCCTTTTAAAGAGGAATGAAGGCATTTTAGATTTCCCAGACTGTATTCTTTTCTGCCCAAGCTAAGCTGTAATGCTGAAACTGTCATTATGGCAACAGTCTGTCCTGAATGTAGGTTTCTGACTTTGCAGCAGGAGAGATTGTCCAATAACTTTGTGTTCTGCTTGCTACTATCCAAGCACAGATTTCTGAAATAAGAGCACACATCACTCAGACGCCAAGTAAACTCTTCCTTTCAGTGGGTGGGTAGTGTGGGCTGCCTCATTTCTCATTTCAAACCACCTGAAAATCAAGCCCTGTGCAAAAGGAGTGTACTGCCTATTTGCTTTGGTTCAGCATAACTGCTTATTCCTGTTCAGAAGGTGGGAATGGAGGCTTGGCAATAGTAGGGTGATATGCTAGATATGGGAGTGCCTTTTAGTTTAGGAACATTAGGGAACAATGTAGCCTGCACTCATAGTGGTGAAGGGACAAATTGTTCTGATATCACACTCTTATCTCTGATTCTCAGAGTGGTACTGGGTTAGTCTCAGAGGCCATACTTGGTTAAATTCCATTATGGGTATTGTATAATGCCTGGGGGAATGAAAAAGAAGGGATAGCTTGTGATTAAAGAAGATCAATACAAAAAGAGGGAAGGTCTAATGTTCCCATTTGAGTACAAGAATGGGAACTTGAGCATGGAATAAAAAGAAAATAAGCAGAACTAATAACTCAAGTTTTTGTGCCAAATCTTAAGTAAGATGTGACTTGCTATAGATCTCCTTACACATAAGCCCCTCCCTTGCTATGTGTATACAAAGGATTGTTTTAATGTTAAAGAACTGCTATATTCCATTCCTCTTCCACCTGCAGCCCTCTGAAAGTTTGTAATAGGTCTTGAATTGGAATGCAATATTATGTAATGCTTCAGTTCATGGCAATTTGGCATTTTAGATGCTTCTAAAATGTTGCAGTGGAGAGAAGTGATTTAAGCACAACTTAAAAATACATTCAGATTAGGTTAGTTTTAACTAGAATTCATTTTTCTCCTTTTTTTATTTCTTTGGGACACCAGTAAACTTAATCTGTTTTTCCTGACTAAATTTATACCAAATGCTACCAATGAAGACTGTTCATCTTTCTCTCTTCACAGAGTCTTCTGATGAAGATTGATGCTTTCCATTATGTCCAGTTGGGAACTGCATATAGGTGTGTCAAATATGAATGCATTTACTAAATGCCCCAAGGGTTCACGCTGAAGATGGAGTGCAAAGTCTCACGTCTGTAAAGTTTTTGACCTTTTTTTTTAATGGGGAAAGCATTCTCTAGCTTATCCTGTCTCCACTTGCTAAGTAATGATTCAAAGCTGTTGCCTGACATGCAGTTACAGGTGGTTGCAGTTTTTTTCAAGCATATGGAGCCAAGTGTGGGAGTGAAAATTTAATTATTTTTTTTTTATGGACAATGATGCATCTGATCACTTAACCCACTAAGTCTGCAGGTTGCAGTGCAGTCTACTTAGGGCAACTTTTCTGACTAAGTCCTTGGACTAGGGAAAGCCTCACTCTTGTAGAGCTGTCCATACATGAAAAAAGCCTGTCCTGACAGGAGTATGCTCACCAATGCTGGAAAGAAAGCTGTTTGGAGGTGAAAATAAGGATATAGAATTTAACTCCATTGAACTGAGGCATTTTTCTTGAGTGGAAAAAGTTGAGTAAAGTGCCCAGAAAAATAATAGGGAGTGCCTTTCTTAAACAAGTGGGCCAGAAGTCCTTGAATAGAGCATTGGTATGTAGCACACTGGTTACTTTGGCTGCTCTTGCGTTCACTACATGCTGCGTCCTTGCAGTTGGAGTGACACAGTTGATATAAAAGCTTTTCAAGTCCTAATCTTGTCTGGTTGTGTAAGCACCAACAAGTCCCACTGACTTCCCTGGGAGACTTGAACCTGCTCAGCACCTTGCAGGATTGGACTTGAAGACTCTCCTTTTAGAAGCAAGGAGACCGATGCAAAGCAATATAACAAACGAATGCTCCAAAGCAAAAAACTCTGAAGCCCTTCAGAGAACACACAGCAAAATATTTTGCTACTTTTTTGGTGGCTGGAATAGTTAAATATTTTTTTCCAAATGAAGGCAACTAATGGCTAACGTCCCCACCATACTTCTAAACTCTACTTTGGGCCAGTGACTCCCAAAATGAAGCACATCAAATATTTGCCAATGTTAAGCAAACAATTCATTTACACTGAGGGAGCAAGGTGAAGCTTCAATATTGATTGTCCACTCTGTCTCTCTTCTCCCTCCTCCCTCAACTCCCCCAAATAGGAAACAGGTACCCAAAATAGTAAATAGTCTGCAGACTTTCCCCACTGCTGTCAGCACCTTCAATAACAGTTGTGCATTACTGTTAGCAATATACATCATTAGACTGGGAAGGACAGAATTAATGTCATGTGTGGAACTCTGGCCCTGGCCCTAGGAGTTACAGGGATCTAAACAAAGTAACAAATGTGTGTCAATATTGGCTTCCTCTGTCACAGGCTGTGGTGGCATTCCACCTTTAATTTTTTTTTTTTTTTTTGTAGGCACTGTTGCTGCCCTGCTCCCTCTCCCCCAGTTTCTTTGGACTGGGACAGGGCCAGAAGATGCAGCCAAAGCACAATGTTCTACGTGGGAGAAGGTGGCTAGAGAATTCTGTCATGAGCTATTGGTCTGATGTTCGGGTGGGACATGTACTTGCACAGTGAGATGGCATAACTTTTTAACCCTCCCATCCCCGAGATCAGTCTCCTACCTCATGAATTCCTCTTTGCATTTCAGCAGCCAGTGTTGCAGTTGGCAGGAGGTTTCAGTCAGCTCTTGCATTCCTTTCCCCATATCACAGCCCCTCTCTAAGATTGCAGAAGGGTGGATCAGTGGTACTATATCCCTTTTAAGAACATGTAGCTCATTACAGCAGTGCTGTACAGGGGACTTTGTTCTCTACTCAGTGTGTGCATACAAATCCACTAATATTGGAGCTGCCTTCTGCAGTGAAGGCTGGTCTAAAGTCATTGAATATGTTTATCTGATTCAGCTTTGCCAAGCAGGAATAGACCGTGAAGGGGAATTTTTTTTATTAATTCAGGGAACTAAATCAGTGAGGGCCAACTTTTGAGGTCCTAATTTGGGTAAATTTCTACTGATTGCAATGAGTTTGTTTTAGATTTACAATAGAGACCTAAGAGTGTCCATTCAAAGTCTCAGGCTCCCTGGACAGTTCTCAAAAACAGTTTGTAGGAGTATGGACATGGGATTTGGCTCCTAATGATGTTATAGCAAAAGCAAGAAAAGCCTCTTTAAAACACCATCAATCATTCTGGTTGTTCTGTTACCCTCTCCCAAGTACCAATATCGTATATATTTGAAGCAGACCGGACAAAGCATGAGAGACTCTGCAGTAGGGAACCATCCTGCTCTGGCCCTAAGAAATGAGCTGTTCCTTTTTTTTTTTTTTTTTTTCCCTTCAGGTTTCTGTATTAAAAGTAGTACTCATAAAATGGGGTGTGTTTTGTTTCCTGAGCTTTTTGACTATGGAAGCTGACTGTGTTTTACTTGTGGAACAGTGCCTTTTCGCAGTTAAGCTCTGATTACATTAAAACCCCAAGATTACCAGAGGCAGAGTTCCAAAATCAAAGAGAATTTCTTTCTTTCAACACTACCCTGTTTATGGTTCCCAGGCATTGCAACATCCTTCACTGAACCTGTATAAGAGGGTTATTTCAAATAATTTTTTTTAAAGCTGTTTATAGAAACTGACTTTGTGTAAATATTTAAATTTTCTTTTAACAAATAGGGTAACTTAAAAAAAAAACCTCTCTTCAAAGAGAACGTTCTGATCTGTTGAGTCAGAAGAAAGGGTCATCATTGGCTTGATGAGTAAATAGTTTGCAAAACAAGTAATTACAAAAAACTGTATAAATGTGTGCATCATCTCCACATCCGCAGACTAATTTTACGTAGCTTTTTAAATCCTGAAAGCATAGTTGAATGTTAGGGGCACATATTAGGTAGGGTTTACCCAGGTTGAATAGTCTTTTACAGAGACCACATCCTTGGTTATGAAAGCTAAACTAACCAGTAAAATATATTTTAGCCTCTGTGTTAAAAATACACCTCTATCCCGATATAAATTGACCTGATGTAACACGAATTCGGATATAACGCGGTAAAGCGGGGGGGGGGGGGGGCGGGGCGGGGCGGCGCACTCCGGTGGATCAAAGCAAATGCGCTATAACGTGGTTTCACCTATAATGCGGTAAGATTTTTTTTGGCTCCCGAGGACAGCATTATATCGAGTTAGAGGTGTATTTGCACAAGTTATACAAAGCCACATGAAACTTTTTCTTACACCATCACAGTTTCTTGCCATGTTAAGTTAGTAATACAGTAATTACCTGAAGGAGCTCTGGATGAGTTTTCATTATACAATGCTGACTAGCTCTAGATTGTACATTGATATTTGGTTGATACATGTGCTGTCTCTCTGAGAAAAAGTATGGAGAAGTCTTGCATCTCGCATTAGTCTGACCTTGCTGTGGCAAGATCAAAGCCAGCCACATCTGTTCAATGGTGCATGTCCTCCTTGAGATAAAAATATATGGAACCAGAATGTCTTTCCCATGTTGACTAAATCAAGGTATAGAGAACCTTCTCAATCAAGCTAGAGCCTGTTAACTATCTTGAGTAGGTAAGTCCCTGGCAGACTGTGAAGAACTACAAAAGAATCTCTCAAAACTGGGTGATTAGGCAACAAAATGGCAGATGAAATTCAATGTTGATAAATGCAAAGTAATGCACATTGGAAAACATCCCAACTATACATATAAAATGCTGAGGTCTAAATTAGCTGTTAGCACTGAAGAAAGAGATCTTGGAGTCATTGTGGATAGTTCTCTGAAAACATCCACTCAATGTGCAGCGGCAGTCCTGTGGAACTCCTTGCCAGAGGATATTGTGAAGGCCAAGACTATAACAGGGCTCAAAAAAGAACTAGATAAGTTCATGGAGGATCGGTCCATTAATGGCTATTAGCCAGGATGGACAGGGATGATGTCCCTAGCCTCTCTTTGCCGGAAGCTGGGAATGGGCAAAAGGATGGATCCCTTGATTACCTGTTCTGTTCATTCCCTCTGGGGCACCTGGTATTGGCCACAGTCAGAAGACAGATACTGGGCTAGATGGAGCTTTGGTCTGACCCAGTATGGCCGTTCTTATGTTATGTTCTTATGTACCTGTTTACAAATGTCCTATGGAAGATTATCTCTGCTCTTTCAGAATTGTGAATGAGTGAAATGCCATGTGGTGGTAAAAACAGACTTCATGCCAATATCCACTTCTTGTCCACTTTAGAGCTTCATAAAAGGAGGTTTCCTATCTTTCCTCTCTGGTTTCCTATCTTTCCTCTCTGGTTTCCTCTGCTAACATTTAGTGATGCAATTTTTTGTGTGATTTGTCTTGTAGAGGGCTAAAGCCAGTGCCTGATGAAGAGGTTATTGAATTGTATGGTGGTACCCAGCACATCCCACTGTATCAGATGAGTGACTTCTATGGCAAGGTATTGTAGGCAGCACTTCAGTGCATTCTTTAAAACTGATATGTTGGCTTTTACTATCAGCTGGGAACCTTGCTGTGTAAGGAATAAGTGAGAGTGACTATAGCTTCTTCCAGATTAGAAAAGGACAGCACTAGCCAGTTTAAACACATTCTGCTTTTGTGGGAATTTACCCCAGAGTTTATTCAAGGGGGTATAGAAGCTGAGATCTGCCTGTGGAAATTGGTTTTTTTTTTTTTTAATTGTTGGGGTATTGGTTCAGGACTCAATGGCTCTCGATGAAGTATGGTGTATTTCACATTCAGGTCACCCATTCAGTTCCAGCCCGCCTCATTAATGACAGTCATCAGGCCATTTAACAGCAGTTGATATCTGCAAAGAGCCAACGTGTGTGTGTTCTCTAGTGAACAGGCATCCCAGGCATAGTTTGATTTACATCAAATCCACCCAGGTACCAACTATGCTGGGATGCCTGTTCATGATTTAAATCACTAGTCAGGAAGACTCGATTTAATCATGGATTTTTACATAAAAGTGCATTCTTGTTGATTGTTATAACCTTAATACATATTCTTCACAACTCAGAGATAGATGTAGGTTTCATTTTTAGAAGGTGCACGCTATACATTTTTTAAGTGATTTATTTTGAAAACTTTTCAGAATAGTTTTACAGCTATATCAGAAAATGAATGATTGTTTGGTTATTTCATTTACCAAAGGTTATTGAAGCAGAGATTTATGAAGTCATTGGGAGGTGAACTATCTCCAATTCAACAGGCTAATCATTAATATTTGGAGGATTATCTTGCCCTGCTGTATTCGGAGGAGAACATCGCCAGACAGACATTTAAATTGTTTTATTTAACTAAAACAATGTTATGTATTCTGGATTTTTTTCTCCAACAGCAAACATATAATATTTTAACAAAACAAGCATATGACTTTTTTTGAATTTAATTAAACATTCAAGTTTTTTAAAGTCAGGCTTGTTTTTTGTTAAATTGTTTTAAACTAAAATAGTTAAATGAAATAGTCAATTTTTTTTTTAAATATGTCAGCCAGGTCAACATGAGAAACAAAATATTGGCTTCTGCAGCTAACTCAATTGTCTTCGCCTTCATTTTCCTGTTTGTTCATAATTGGAAAAGAAAAACAAGCTTTCCTGCTTTTGCAGGCCCCAAACGATTTCTCAATTTGGAATGAATTAGTCCAAAGGAAGAAAATATTCTTTCTACACTGGCAGAAGAAGCTACTGTTAAGTGAGATTATCACTTCAGCAGTCTCTGAATCCAAGTGCTTAAGTGACTTCCACCAGTTCACTGGTGTGACTTTCTTTAAAACATCAGCAAACATCTATTTCTTGAATGGTTCACCCTTAGCTCTGAAGTTTATTATAGTTGGCATTATGGAGGGATGATGGCTATGACATGGACATCCAGCAAATTCCCTCTTCTTCAGCAGTTAAGCTTTGACCCCGGTACCGAGTATTGAGAATATTTGCAAGAAAATGAACTGGAGATAGTGCTTGTCCCATTTTTTTTTTTTTTATGCTTGTAATTTAACTCTGTCATTGCATATTTCTCTTTTTAAGATCTCACTCAGTTCCTTCCAAATTTCAACAGCATCAGCATAAAACAGCTATTTCCCTGCACTTTGTTCAAAGCTACAGAAATAGGCTTCAGGGAACTCCGCATGTGTTCAACATTTCTCTTAAGCCCAATGTTAAGAACTTTGGCTGTGACAGTGCCATCTATTTTGTCATGATTTTGTTCACAAACTGTCATCCGATTAGGATAGTGCTCAAAACAGTCCGCTACTGAGTTCCATTGCACGTCTTGTGGGAGAGTGAGCTTGGTTCCTCCCACTTTTTTCAGAGCAGCTGTTGCAAAGTGGTTTACAGAGTATTTTGCAATTTCAACATTAGCCTTTATTTCTGGAACACTGAAGTCTTTAACTAGGAGGTGCATCAAATGAGCACTGCAACAGCTTGGGACTCCCTTCTAAATAATTTCTTCTCCTCTTGGATACATTTGCAGCATTGTCTGTGACCAAGCTGCGTACTAGACATTTGATTTTTTTTTTCAAAGTTTGTTATAGCTTTTACTGCTACATCTCTACCCCGATATAACGCGACCCGATATAACATGAATTCAGATATAACGTGGTAAAGCAGCGCTCCAGGGGGGCGAGGCTACGCACTCCGGTGGATCAATGCAAGTTCAATATAACGCGGTTTCATCTATAACACAGTAAGATTTTGGGCTCCCGAGGACAGCGTTTATATCGGGATAGAGGTGTACTTCTTGTAAGTATTCTGCTGTGTGTGCATTTCCTGATGTATCAATTGTTTCTGTAAGGAAGACATTCCTCCCTTCTGTTGTCACACAAGCACATACAACTGGATCATTGTGGACATTGCTCCACCCATCAAGACTCAGGTTAACAATTTTACCCTCTAGACTTTTGCACACTGCTCAATTTCTCTTTCATACACTTTATCCAGCAATTTGCCTGGGACATCTGCTCTGTTGGGTGGACTGTATCCTGGTATTAATGACTGAACCATGTTAATGAAGTATGGGTTCTCAATAATATGGAAAGGAGAGTTTGTTGCATAAACAAACAGGGCAATTTTTTCATCAATTACCTCTTTTTGTAATTTGCTAGTTCTCATCACAAACTTACCTATGGTTGTTTCTGGATGATGGAGATTTTTTTTTTTTTCCTTTTCCTTTTTGCTACAAGTGATATACTGTGGCCACGTGACATACATGATGTGACTGAAACACTATCATTGGCACATAACTCTGAAACTATAGAAAATGGTGGTGATCTTGAAGGTAGAGCGTCTTCAGAATCCTGTATGTTGAGGGTGGATTCTCCTAAACAAAATAAGTCAATGCAGTTATTTAATGATTATTACCATACTGCTCATTTAGTATTACTCATTACATTCACTGACACTCAGTACTACTTTAAAGGTGAAATTGTAAAAAGATCTGCCTATTGCAGATATTTATTTTTGATCACAACTGCATCTAAAATGGTAGTACCATAGCATAACAACTATATATTTTTTTCTCAAACATGAGAATTGAAGGAAGACAGGCAGTCCTTAAGAAAGAAGTATGAAATAAAAAAGTTTACCCCCTGAAGATCCTGCATGTTCAGACATGTTCCTTTCATCTTCAACACAGCTTCCTCCTGAGAAGGAATACTTCTCATGATGTTTCGTTCGGGCAACCAGACCTTGCATTTCTTTGTTGCGCTGTTTGCATTTTGCACACATGCCTGTCTTACCCACAGGTAGAGGAACTTAATTAAAATATTCCCAAACTGGGCCTCTTTTATGGCCTGCTGCCATTATAGGTTTTCCCTTCTAGTGAGGGAAAGTTATGGTAGATCTCAAATCAATGAAGGCTACCCTCAAAGACCTCAAGACTTCTGGAATATGCTGCTCAAACTGTTTAACATTTGTTTCTACTGCCTGTCCCTCCTGTCTCACATTTATCTCCAGACTTCTCCTTGTCCAGATCTATTCCGCCCCCAACAATCTTCTATTCATTGAACTTTTTGAAACTTTTCACTTTTAGAGAGAGGTTCTGTGTACATTGCAGAGGGACAATTGGGTTGAGGTCTGTTATTTCTCACCTATTTATTTATTTATTTTATTTAAAAAGATTTTTGCTGTTAACAAGCATGTTGTCTCTGGAGACACACATCCACAGTTTGAGAACTGCAAAACTAAGCATCTTTGATGTTCTCTTCTAGACTGAGCACTGAGTTCCATTGAGTAGATAGAAAGATTAACCTAAATAATCTATACAGAAGACCCTGGAATCCCATAAGATTGGGTCCCTAATTCATGAACTATTGGAACTCATTTACAAACTTTTCTTAAACATTACATGAATATATTGTCTCATATTACAGAATTAGAATTTATAATCCCTATTCCATGATGAGCTACATTATAGCTCAGATATCTTTAGATAGGTTTTTTTCACTCAAAAAGCATTTTTAAATGTTAAATATAAAAGGCATGTTGGATTTAATACTTCCATTTGTCTTGAATACTATTTCCAGAGAATGAATGTGCATCGGTTAACCTTGAGCCTGCATTATTATTCAAGTGCATGTATGAGCAGCACAGACAGCCAGAGAAATCCATCTGCCTTCAGCACTGCATAGGGCTCCAGAAACTGCTTTTTAATTATTCTCTGGGGATCAGATTCGCTGTGTTTGGGTTTTTTGCACAGTCAGAGGTCTGGCAATATTAAGTTTCTTCCACTGGCACCTTTCAATTTTGTCTACGTTGGCTGAAAAGGAGCTGGTCTGGAGTCAAATGTTCTTTTTGGAAGAACTGTCTAGCTTCGTGCCATGGAAGCTTTGGGAAAAACTAAGTTCATAAATCCCACCCCCAATCTCATTTCAGACCCTGAGTTAGTTCTGGCATTGGTGAATCATCTGGTAGCTGAACTGCAGGCTTCCTCAAAACATTCTAGTAATATCCCTGTAAGTCAGTTGTGCTAAGTCAACAACCCAAGGTCACTTTGATTTCTCTATCATGGGAAAGGCTAATCTGAGCTGTTAGCCCTTTGGAAAAGCAAATACTTTGTGTCCGAGAATTATTCACAGCTCTTAAGTTGCGTGTATGTCTGTTTAGAATGTGAAATATGTGTACACACAGTACTCATAAATGTAACTTTTTGTGAATAGCAAACTTCCAATTTTTTTTGACTTGCACCTGCTTTAAGTATGAAGTATAGCTACAGTAGTACTTGTGCTCTAATATAACTAGCTACCGTTCTTTGTGATCTCTTAGACACGTTAACATTTTCATTAATTTTTTTCCTTTTGTTCCCATTTTTGAGACCAGGGAGATTGTTTTACTTATTTTTTTTTTAATTCTTCCCCCTTTTCACAAGGAGAATCTTCCTTTGGTGATGAGCAATGAAGATCTGGCTTGTTCAGGAGCCAGTCAATGATACTCTGTGCATGTTAGAGAGACAAGGTGGGGGAGTAATTTTTTTTTTTAATTTTTATTTTATTTATTTTTACTGGACCAACTTCTGTTGGTGAAAGACAAGGTTTTGAGCTTACACGGAGCTCTTCTCCAGGTCTGTGCATGTGTGAGACACGTGCAAAGGCCCCTCAAATATCACCGAACATACTCCAGTCCCTACTGGGGAATCGGGACTTAAATTTGCTCACATGTTGGGAAATCCATGGTAGATTTTATTATTGACTCTTGCTAGTAGGCAGATGACTGACACTTAAGCATGTTAAGAATTTATTACATGGATTAAAGGGCTAATGTGTATAATGCTTTTTATGGTTCCTTCTGGAAACTGCCCTGCCCTGGGCTAAGATGAGCACATCAGTTTTAGAGAGGGTCAGGTTTATTTTATGAAACTAGAAAAAATGGAATTCTCCCTCTTCAGCTTGTTTATGCAGTGTGGTTCAACCAAGTTTGTCAAATCTTAATCATAATTAGGAGAAAAGTCTATTTTCTTATTCCCTTCCAGACTTTTAATATTATCATTCCAAACACAACAGTACATGTTGCATAAGATTTGTGTCAGAAAGACCTGGAGATGCAACAAGTCTCTCATCTGCCATTAGGTATTATTTCTGGTTCAGCAAATTCTCTCTACTGTATCTTTCACAGCTGAATGCAAACTTTTAAACTTCCTGTGTCTGTAGTGTACTTCGAAGGAATTATTCAATTCTAAATGATTAAAGACCAATTGAATTAAATAAAATGCATAATGAGAGAATTGGAAGTCTATATTAGAATCAGAAATATAGAACGTCAGCACAAAGGTCCTACAAGTACTTTCCGAGGAACTAACGCTAATGTTTTCTGTGCTTCTGCTGATTGCTTACTAATTAAAACAGATTCCCCCTAAACTCCTGAAGTTTATCACAGATGTTTGGCTTGCCTTCTTAGTTTCTAACCTGGACCTATAAGGTATTTGTTAAAATCACTGTGCACAAATTTAAATTCCTTTGACTCTCCTTGCTGTAAAGGAGGAGAAGAAATTCCCTCACCATCACTTCATAGCTACACTGGATCTCTTTTTAATGATCACTTTCTAAGCTATGGGGGCTTGCAGTAAGGAGAGCAAAATCACTTTCAAAATCCATTTGTATTCTTTCTTGAGCTGAATATTTGCAGTATCCTTTGAAGAGCTATGAGACAGTTCGTGTCAGTGGATAGTAAATCCATAAGGATTTACATGCTTTTTTAGTTCAGAGGTGTAATATTGTGCTCTGAACTTCCAACTTTTTTTTAAAGCCTGGAAGGGAGAAGCATTAGAAGAGGGCTTGACTAAAGTATATGAATTACATTATGGAGGGCGTAGCAGAAACTGATCAGTCCCTCCTCCTTGTTATACAACTCCCATAGTATGAGGAGATGAGTATTCAGTTACTCTGTGGAATGCATTGTAAAATGAGGTCATGGAATAAATACTGTATTTTAAAATGGGTTAGGTAATTCTATAACCAAGCTAAAATATAAATAAACCACTTTGTGGTCTAATCTCATAGACTTTAACATCAGAAGAGACCATCATGATCTCCTTGCCATAAGTTCAGGACAGAATTCTTCAGACGCCTCTTGACATTCTGTTGCTGCATACATGCATTCTATGGGGTTTTGGTTTTCCCCTGAAGTATCCATTATTGACCTCTGCCAAAGGCATGGCATTAGTCTTGATGAACCAATGGTCGGATTAAATAGACAGATTCAGTATTCTTGTCATCTTAGTAGTGCCAGAATGCTCTTGTGCAATAAATATAATTAAATCTCTTCATACTGAAAGATGAAAAGTAATACAAGTTGTTAAATCAGTTAATAAAGAAGGTGCTGTCTCTTGGATTAGATGTAAAAATAGGTCCTTATTACTTCTGGTCATTAACAATTGCATGATGCTTTTGCAAGAGCAAAGGTCTCAACATGAGTCTCCTAACCAAATTCCAATCTAGGTAGCTATGTTTTATCAATTAAAATGTCACTTGTATTTTAACACTCTTGTAATAGATATCATCTAATACAATGGATGAACCAATGGACTCTTCCATCTGGGATGAAATGGAACAGTATCTTAACTTAATTCTGTGCAGGTTGCCTGGATGCAACACTTCTTTATGGCTTGGTTTGAGGAACTGGCACATAGTTTCCCTCAGTAATGACTAGCCATGGAGGGGGAGGAGGAGGAGGAGCTGTCATTGAACTCTGTGGTAGTGCTTTTGTCACCATGGGATTGGGGACACTAAACATCTGGAAAATGTTTCTGGAAACGTTCTATCTCTTGTGCCTGATGAAAGATGCCTACTGCGTCTAGAGCGTTTGATGACATACATTTCTTAGTGAGTCAGCACTCACCCTCTCTCCTTCAGGGGTACAGGCCTTCTATGATCACTTCCTCATATCTGTATACTATGTGTGTATACTTTCCATGTTACTGCCTTTATATGCATTGACTTTGAGGCCATGGACATGCTGGAGAGTGCTGGGCCTATAGGTCTCTATTTGCTAGGGAATTTGTTTATGGGTCTAACTTCCAGGCTCTGGGGTATGCAATTAGTGCACAGATATCCTTAATAGCTAGAGTCTTGAGCAGTTCTAAGCACTTCCCAAACTGCTTTTCCGTCACCAGATGTCTTTAATTATTCTTACAGCCACTCTGGCACTAGACAAATGAAAAGCTAAATTACTTATTCATCTGCAGCTCTCAGGAGAGATATGGGAATCTCTCTTCCAAATTTTGTACATCAGAAAGAGATGCAGTGGTGGTTATTTTGTATCTGTGTTCTGGCAGAGTCCTGTTGTATTTAAGAAGAGAGAGCGCTACATGTATAAAGCTAGCAAATTGTATTAAACTAGAATTCCTGGTCCAAAAAACTGCTGTTTGACGATGCGATCTCTAGAGTAACATCTACTCACAGCAGGGCCAAATTAGGCCCATAGACATTTAATTTTTTATTACTAATTTTATAACTTTTACAATAAACTCAGCCTTTGTATAATTAATGGGCTTGAAATAACTGGGGAGCTATCACATTGTGTGGCAGGAGTTTTCTGACCATTGTTATCTTTTGGGCACACATTGTTTAAATCATTTTGCTACTTGTTGATCAGTTAAATACCATCTGAATCCTCACCAGGAGAATAATTAAGCATAATATTTTGAAGTGTTGATGCCTTTGCATCTGAGAGTCTTGAAACACATCATAAACATTTAACTAAGCCTCCTGGCACTCTTGTGAGATGGATAAGGGGGATTTACAGGGATACCTGTAGTCCCTTCGGGAGTGGAACACAACCATTTCTCAGTGCACTGCAATGTTGTACAGCAGTTCTGAACATGAAAGGAAGAATACTGTATTAGGTTGGCTAATTCCCCATATCTTATAGAAAGTGCTGTGGTTATCTAATGACCACAGTGGTCAGGAAACCTGTTTTGTCAAGTGCTCCAAAGAACTGTTACATTATATAAGTACCTAATTTAAGGGCAGAGTGTCACCTTCTAAGTCGCTGATGCATCCAGCAGTACCTAGGCTTGCTTTGGAGGTCTCATCTGGAAACTGATGTTAGCCAACCTAATTAGCTTGTGAAGCTCGGTGGGAGGGCAGGGGTACAAGTTTTATATGCACGCGCGCACACACACACACACACACACACACACGCCTTTAATTGGCATGGGAAACCATTCTGAACTCTTTAACACCACATTCACAGCTTTCTTGCAATTTCTAATACAACTTTTTTTGCCCTTCTGATCAGGGTCCTTCAATTAAACAATTCATGGACATCTTCTCCCTTCCTGAAATGACCCTGCTCTCCTCTGTCATTGACTATTTCATAAATCATGGCATTGAGTTTGACCAGGTTCATCTTTACAAGGACATATCTGTGAGTATAAGGAACACTTGAAATGCTGATGTAACAGTGTGTATATGGCACAGTTAATATTATGTCTTTTTGTTGTTACTTGTGAACTCTGTACTATCAAACTCAAGATTTATTATTTCTAACATCTAGTTTTTTAATTGGGGAGCCTTGGTGCACATACAGTGCTTTAAAAAAAAAAAAAAAACATTTGAGATCTCTTTGTATACTATTAGATCACTATATTATTATTTTAACATTTATTTTGGTAGTGTTTAGAGGCCTGCTAGATCAGGGCCCCAAAAATGACAAGAGTTGAATTATTTAATTCAACGTGCTTCAGGAAGTCCCAGCTTTTATTTGTAGACCATTGTCTGATCCTCCCTTATTTAAAAGGGGCAATTTAAAAAAACAAAACAAAAAAACAGACCCTCACCTCTCCAAAAAACCACCCCAAAACCTTAGCATTGATCTAATTTTTCTGATGTTGCCCACCAATATGGGCAGGATATCTTTTCACTCACGTGAGGGGATTATTGACTAGCCTAATGGCTTGGTTGTATTCTGAATTTTCAGTTAATTTATAGGTAAAATTTTGGTGAGTCCCATGCGTCCTTTGACCTAGATAGAGCCCTAAAAGACTCCAGGTCTCCCCCATGTAGGACATATGGTTTCTCCTCCATGGGCAGGGGCTCTCAATTCCTACTTGATTAAGTGGGGTCTTATGAGAAGCAGTGTGCAAATTTTCACCTAAAGGTAAGGACTGCATCACTGCACTTTTTGTCTTCCCTGTGGGGAAAAAAGAATGTTCTAACTCCAGGTAAAATCCTAGTGAAAAAAGGTAGTTCAAGGTAAACCTGGTTTACCTCAACCTGCTAACGTGTGAAAACTCCAACTGCTTTGTCTTACTTAACTTATGTTCACTAAGATTTTTACCTTGTGTTAACTCCTCGTTTTCCTAGGGAAGATGCATCCTTTCAACCCATAGTATTCCGAAGTGTAAGAACAACTGGACAAGGGCTAACTGATGTTGTTCTATTTTACTCTGTGGCGTTAGTATCCTACTGGGGTGATTGGAGGATGGACAGGTTTATCCTGTCTTTATGAGGTTATGTGATAAGAGCATGGATAGTTTGAGTATCACCTTTTTATAATTAGTTGCAAAATACAAAAAGATCTGTGAGCTAAAAGATGTTGGTGTTTCGAAACACCGACTGAATGTTTACACTTCAGAAAATGGGAAGCTTTGTTCTAACTTGAATCTAACCTAGAGTTTTCTGTTGAGCTGATGTTCAGATTTAAAATATAGGTATTTGTATGATCAAAACATGGAATATTTTTTTCTCTTTCTGCTGTTAAAGATTAAAAAAAAAATCTGTATACAGTTGGTACTAACTTAGTGTCTGGTTATTTTAAACATTCTAAAGGACAATTCATTAAGTAGATTAATCTGAAGATATGCTTTTCACCATTACAGTCTATGAAATTTTCTCCTTGTGTAGCAGATGAAAGTATATAAAACAGCTGTGTAATTTTCAGCTTCTGGGAGCTGTCCTACCAATGTTGTAATATACAGGGCAGGGGAAAGACTACAGAGATGAATGTACATAGCATATTTTATTTTAGTACTTGAGTGGCTGGATATCAAGGTGGCAAAGGCCTTCCTGAATTGCATTACACTTGTTTAGTCTGGTTTTGGAGCGAGTCCTGAGGAGTCAGTCGATGGTTTCATCAAAGCCATTGGATGGATCTACAACTTGGGACCAAATGACTGTACTATAGGTATAAATAAGCACATTTAAGACAATGCCATTTATTAATGGATGGCAACAATATTCACTACAGTATGATCCAGAAGAACGAGTGCACTGTCAGATTCTTAAGTTCTAATCCTGGCTGTTGCGTTGGTTTGCTCTTTGGCCTCAAGTTACTTCACCTTATCTTCTGCAGTTTCTCATGTGTATAAAGTGGATGCTTACAGCATATACCTCACTGGGTGCATTGTTTGGGTTGATATCTGCTCAGCATTCTGAACACGTAAAGCACAATAATTATTAATCATCCTGCTGTGGTGTGTTCTGATGGGTGTCCAACGAATGCAGAATGGGGGGCATGGGGAATCTTGTCTGAGTTGAGGACTGAGGGTAAATATACTTCTTTAAAACCTTACCTGTTCATGTCACTACTCCCTGAGGCTAATTCTTGTGTTTTGGAAGGCAAAGAATCTGCCAGGCATGGTTCAGAATGTTATTCAGCAAAGTAGGACAGAAGTTCTTGTGAAGAAATAAATACAAAACTCCTCCCACTCTGTTGCTAACTCCTAGAACTGAGCATTCTCAGAATAATGATGCACATAATTTGGTAATAGCTTTGGAAACAAACTGGCAGCCCCTCCACCCTTGTAGGAAATCTTTTTCAGTGAACTAAAAGGTATTTTTAGGATCAGGCTCATGTTGGCAACACTTATCCTAACTCGTGCTGTTAGTGGGCAAGACACATTTATCATGGGCAATGTAAACATTCACGGTTCTCTTGGGGCTCTTCTCAAAGACCTGCTGTCGTCTTTAATATGAAGCTTGGCACTGTGTACTGGTCAAAAGGCCAAATATTAACTGGTTGCCCCAGGAATTAAAGCAAGGGAGCAATTTGTTCACGGGCTCAGGTTGGTCTGCAATCTTGGTATTGGGGGACAAAGCGCATAACTGTTTATTGGCCCTGCCATCCTTCAGAGAGCTTTTCTAACATCACGTGGCATCTCCCAGGGTTTTCAAGGTTCCAGCTGCAATACAACTCCGGGCTCTCTTTTTATTTGTGTGGAATAAGGAGTCTGCGACCAAGGAGCCTAGCAAACCTGGCATTCTTTTCTCCACTCTGAATATAGTTTTGGCACATAAGGACTTACTGTTGTCTGCTTGTGTCACCAATGTCAGGTCCTCAGAAGAGCTTTTTCTGCACAGGAGCTTGCACTTGTGGTGATAACCCCATCACTGTTTGGTACCTGTGCCTCTGAATCCAGTAGACTGATCTATTGGTGAATGACATGGGGCAACGGTTTTTAGGGTTTAACCAGATTTTTATCTCTGAACTCCAAATGTCAAAATACTTGAGTCCAATTTATTAAATTATGTCCCAATGTGCAGTTCAAATCTTCAAACTGTTCCTCAGTCAGCAAGCAATTAAATGGCCTTCGAGTGGCTGCTGAATATCAGCTCTGGCGCCACCACCACAAAGGAACCCTGTAAGCATCTGCTGCTACATATAAATGTTTGTTTAAAATTATTGTAGACCCTGAATATAGGAATCTGCAGTGAAGGGGTACAACACGTGATATGATGGAACGTGTCTGATCTAAAAATGTCCAGTTTAAGCTCCTTAGGAAAAAATTAACTTCCAAACCCTTACAAATGAAAAGTGTGTCTGTAACTCACTCACTTCCCACCCCAACCCCAGAAATTGGTTTTGGCTTTAAAAAACAGAAGTAAAACAAATTTAACAAACACAATCTGAAAATAGGATGGTTTAAAGAGTGACAATCTTGGAACGAATGTGTGCAGCTTGCAGGCCTTGTTAAATGGGGGAGATGTTGGGATTCTTGGTTGGACAGGTCCAAATAGTGCATGGGTGCGGTCTCTTTCATACATATAGGAAAGAGACGGACACCCATGCACTATTTGGGATTCCTCACCTTTATTATATATAATCAATATATATTTTTTTTAATGATCCTTGTTTATACAAGGAGAATTTTTTTGGTATATGGAGTGAAGAACACTATTGTTTCAACACCCCTTAAATCTTGACACAGACACCTGCACAGAACAGGTTAAAATTGAAGTTCTGCATCAGACTAGATGTTTCCTTCAGGAATTTCAGATTTAAAACTCAAAAAGCTGTCGTTTTTCCCCTTTTTTTAGGATGCCATTAAAGACGTGCACGTAAAAGGAATGATGTACAAATGGATTGAGAAGGACATGGGTCAGTTAAGTTTAAATTCATTGTTCTTAATTTTCAGTGCTAATGCATATTTTATTGAATGTTTACATGTGTAAATGGATTATTTGGTTTTACAGTACATCACCAGACTAGAACTGATAGTGATAAGGTCATGTTCATAGCTTATGCTTAAGGCTATCCAAGGAGTTGAAAGAGGTATTTTGATATTGACCAAAGCTGTTTTACAAAGGGAAGAACAGTCCTTTCATTCCTCCAGCATTATTTTCTTTGCTTATAAGTTGGGGATATTAGCAGTTAAGTGGAAAATGTACCATATGGGAAGGCCATAGCTATTGTAGATGAGCTTTTTTTCTCTCTTCACTATATAGTCAGCCCTATGACACTGTAATTGTTCATCTGGTCTTTTCACATTTACCTGCCTCCCAAAAGCACATTAACTCACTTGTGCATGGGGGTCACAAACTCTTCTAGTATATAAAGCTAGCTTTTTATTTTGTTGTTGCTGTAATTCTCTATTCATCTTGCTTATTATTTCAATAATTATAACGCTGTGTACCCAAGAGTATGGGCCTCTGCATTCCAGGTGACCTTTTTAAAAACCCTCTGGCAAAATTGTAAACCATATGCCGGTGGGAAAAATTGATAGTAAAAGATGATAGACTTGTGTGGGTTTTTTGTTTGTTTTTTTTGTTTTTTAAACAGAGAAATACATTCTTCATGGGGATGAAACTTATGCTGTCCTAAACCGACTGGTTAACCTCAACAAGAAACTCTTCCTTATTACAAACAGCCCCTTCAGCTTTGTGTGAGTATCGTCTGTTACGAAAATATGAATCAATGGTTATAACTGCATGCATTAGACTACGGTTTGGGGCCTATTTTCCTCAATGAGGCTTTGAAGGTAGTAAACTGGCTGTTTTTAATGGGACATTTCAGTGGAATTGTATTCGATTGGGGGAAGAGAGCAGTGGCTTGTGGTAAAAGATTATTAAACAGGCATACCATACAAGAGTTCTTTTGTCTTTGAGGGAGCTGTTATTCTGGCTTTCTTTTGGGGCCGTGACTGGCCAGTATTATTTTGCCATCATTTTTACTATTGATACCAACAGAGTAATATCTCCTGAGCCAGCAGACTTGCTCTGCTTCCTGAAGACACAGAGTTGCTGAGCTTTGAGGGTAGGGTAGAGGGAGAATTCCTTAGTCATGGTAGGAGTAAGTTAGTGATCAACAACTGATGTGCAACTCCTATGTGCAGTCAAATGGAGTCAGAAGTTTTTTGAAGTCTCTGTGCTTCAAGACTTACTACATTTAAAAAAAAATTGTTTTAAGCCCAATTGAAATTGGAATATTAACTTTTCCACCTGTTTGCAGAGATAAAGGAATGAAACATATGGTTGGCAAGAACTGGCGGGACCTCTTTGACATGGTCATTGTGCAAGCTGATAAACCCACCTTTTTCACTGATAGACGCAAGTATGTTCCATTGTAGTGTGTTGCACTGCTGCATTGTGGCTTGTAGAACTTTTCCGAAGCAAACATTTCCCTCTGCTTTCTCTCTCCACCCATCTCAAAAGTATTGTTGTTATCAAAACTGTCCACACTCTTGGGGGCGGGTGCGAGTATGTGAGTGCCTGTGTGTGTGTGTATTAGATCATAAATTCTAAGCCTGGTGCAGAATTGGGTCCCCTGCTTCCCGATATTCATTAGCTAAATGCATCTATTATGGCAAATATATTCCTCCGTTAATAAAAAGCAGTTCTATTGAAATCCTAAGCAGAATTTGTTCTTAAATTTAGGGCATTTAACAGAGTTAAATCAGAAGTTTTATGGTACAGAAGAAGAAATGGAAAGGAACAGAATAGCAGAATGCTTTGTATGAAAGCTGAATATGCCTGGACATTGTATAACTTGTGAATGTGCCAATTCTCCCCCCCCCCCCCCCCGCCCCGGCTGCACTTAACAAGCCTTCCAACAAATGGCAAAGTAACTTAAGTTGGGTGGTTTCTTAATTACTTGGTACTTTCACCCTGTATGTGGTGGTGGTGGTTTAATTTTTATTCCTTATTTCTCTTTTTAGTAACTCTTATACTTGGCGACTAAAGAAAACATTCCTAGGAACACATTTCTGACATATCAGTTTTTTATTTTTTATTGGTAATGATTTCCTTTAGACTTGCAAAATAAGAAGGGAGAAGTGGTCATGCTGGCTCTTGAAAACAGATATAGAGATCCTGTATCTTTTTACAGTGCTGCCTTAACTTATGAATGGCACAATTTTATTCTATTATCAAGAGCAGAGAATATTCTTTTTAATCCAGCCATTAGCCCAGTTAGGAGTGGAATTGTTCAGCGTTTTCCCCATTCATTAAGCATATTTGCTTGCTTTTTTTTGCAAACCAAAAACCTGATCAGTTTTTATTGGCTTGGATAACTATTTTCTTAATTACTGCATATTTTGCAAGTCTTTATCTGTAATGCTGCTGCTGTTCATGATGAAAGTGCAGGATTCAGTTATTGTGCTCACTTAGTTAATAGTGCACATCTACTCTGAACAAAACACACCCTCTGAACACAATTAGTAGCCTTAGCAAAAAGGTCCTGGACATAACAGACCATGAAAATTAGGTTGCCCTCTTATCTGCTACCTAGAGATATTTCAAGGCATAGGTGAATTGGGAGGTTCGTTTTGAGAGGCTTGTGCTGATGCTGTCCATAATTTAACTGTTTTCTGCCTACCTAAAGAACTTCACTATCTAGTGCTCTAAAGCCAGCATCTTTCACCAGCATTACATTAACTTTAAAGCCCATTTCCTAGTAGTATAAATGTTCACATCAATCGACAACAGTGAACCAGTTTAACTGTTTGTGGCGACCTGTCGTGGCACTGTGACAGGCCACCTACGCTGCCTGGCTTCAGGCTAGCCACTGCCTCCTTTTGCTCTCGCTCAGCTTGGCTCTCCCAAACTTCCATCCTGGTTTGGTTGCTTCGGCGACTTGGCCTTCCAGCTAAGTCCTAAAGAAAAATCCACCCCTTCTGGGGTCTTCAAGTCCAGAACAGTCTTCCACCCCAGTCTCAAGCTGAGTAGAACCCTTCTTTTCTGAGGATCAGTCTTCTCTTCAGACTTCAAAACAACCTTCAGCCTGCCCTCTGAGCCCAACTTGTAGCCCTTCCTGGGCTCTGCAGTCTTCCAGCAACACTTGAGCTCCCTTCTTGTGCTCCTTTTGGGTCTGTACTGAACGCTGATTCTCCCTGGGTTTCCTACTTAGAGACTCCCTTCTTCCCTCTAGCTCTCCACAGGCGTCTGTCTTGTCTCCTTGCTGTCTCCTTCCTCCAGCCGCCTCGAGGCCTGCCTGTCATGTACTTTGCTCATTTTCTCCACCTGGGGAAGTGCACTAAGTATGTCTGGTGGGGGTGGACCCATGTCCCATGAGAGCCATTCATCCTGTGACATGACAATACAATGCCGCTTACTGACCCACCAAAGACCATTTACGCTACAGATCTCCGTGGAAACAGTAGCACATTGGAGAGAACTAACTTCTGCATTATAACATTCCTGTAACTTTAAGTGAATGCTTTTAACTAGTATTAAAAAAATCTTCTGAGACCTCTGCATACAAACACCACCAGTTCATTTGTTCCAGGGCAGCACTAGGGGGAACCACTACAATTTACATAAAATACTGCACAATTCACAGTTGTGTTGAAGAACCAACTGGTTAGCAGACAATGCTATGTATAAATAACACTATTGTTTGAATAATTATCAAAAGATCTAAATAACTGTATATTGGTGTTAAGCACACTTGTTCTCTCAGAACTCTTAACTTTAGTAGTGTTTTTTTACTAATGTTTCTCCATCTGTAATCAGCCTTGGTTTGGAAACTGTTAGGTATGGTGACAAGGTTCCAGGCCCATCTCCAGTATCTAGTATTTGATTCTGTGCAAAGAGTAAATAATAATCCTGTTGTTGCTATGCTGCTCCTTATTTTGTAGCGCTAAACCTTTACACCTTACTTCATACTCTGTTTTTGTACATCATTATAAACCATGTTAAATAATGAATGTTTGGATTTCTATCAAAGCTTTACTATGTGTGGGAAAGGGTAGTTTGTAATGTGGATGGTATAATTTTGTGTCTGTAATTTATGACAGCCTTGGTTAGATGTCCCCTTTATTTTTTTGTATAAATCCTAATAATAAGTAACCTACCAAAACAGGTTCAGAAAGTGAGAGTACTCTGAAAGGCTGAGGATTACAAGTATTCTTGGTACAGTATCTTGGAATATCCATACTAGATAGAACTAGTTTTCCTTATTTGTCTCTCTCACATCCATATGTTTCTAATAGTGTAGGAAAGTGGCATCAGAATATTTTTTTTTATTTTTCATTTATTTAATCTAAAGTCAGCCTTCCTTATTATTAGGAACCTAACAGCCACTCACAGGTGGGCATCTCACTTCCTTTCAGGCATGAGGAGGTGACTAATCTACATTATCATGAGGGAGATTTACAGCTTGTCTTGGTATCTACATACAGCGTGTAGATCTTGGGGGTTTTTGAATACCAACGCCTTCGTGCTATAAATTGTAAAATGAAGTGTAAATGGAGCCAGACATACATGATTTATGGAGAGAAAGAATTAAGATTAAATAGAATTTGGCTAAATGACTAAGTGGGGTTGTGGGAGACATAGCCCTACAAATATTGGAAGGGCAATATACCCCAAAATGAGATGGACTGTTATTATATGAGTTGCTGCTCTGCTAAGGGTTAATAGGGTGAAAAAACATGGGTTGTATATCAGGAAGAGCTTGCTGATAATGAGCTGTATTACACTGTGGAACAGTTTCCCAAGGAAATGGCTAGAAACCCGTTGCTTTTTAATCACAACACTAGGACAGAAACTGTACAACAGAGACCACTCCTACATTGATGGGAGACAAGCAAGATGGCACACAGAGAATTCTCTTCCACTTCTAGGTTGTATAAATGCCAAGATGGCTTTAGGAGAGGAGGATACATCCCCATTGCACCAGCCCCCGGTTTCTGCTGCTACAAGAGCTGCTTTTCCCTATTCTGAGATTTCTTAATAGTGTAGTATGTAATGGGGTGTGTTGTGCCTCAAAACTAGAGAGTAGCCAGGATAGGAACATGTTTGGGCAAAAGGCTGCCTGACTGTCGCATTTGTTTTCCTGGTCCCTCAAAAGCAATACAGACCTTTCAGGTGTTTGTGGTAGTGTAGGGAGGGTTAATACAAAAACTTTAATAGGCTGAAACTAGATTTTATTCTCATGAGAAGAGGAAGCTAAAGGTCACTTTTTGCTTAAAATTCACTTTGTACAAGTTACATAACATTAATTTAGGAGCTTCATGACGTGATTTACAGCTGTGTATGCCAATTGGAAAAATGTGAGTTACTTAACTCTTGCTCCCCTGTTTCTTTTTTAGACCTTTTAGAAAATTGGATGACAAAGGCTCACTCCAATGGGACAAAATAAACAAACTAGAAAAGGGAAAGATCTACAAACAGGTAAATAAAATATAAAGTCTTGTATTTCCTTTGCTCATTACCTCTAAAACCATAGGGACTAATATAATTCCTATGTTCTCAGCCTGGTGAAAGCTTTTTTTTTAAGCACAAAAGCTGTACAGTCTTGGTGATATGAAAAATAGCTCATTTGAATATTTGTGAGGGCTGGTGTAATAGGGGTGTGAAACACAGGAGTACTCGTGAGGGAGTCCTGGTCCCAGTTACGTGACAAGGGCAAGTAGGCACATTGCATGGGTCAGAATCCACACACACCAGTGGCGACTGTTACAGATGGCATCTTCCATTCCTTTTTTTTTTTTTTTTTTTTTTTTCCTTGCTCTCTCTCCATGGAGATTCCCATGGTGTTCAAGACTCATCCTCTCCCCTTCCCTCACCTCCACTCTCAGACACTTTCAGTATCTCCAGTACATCTGTCAGATCTCAGCTGTTATGCTTTTCTTCAGCTCTTTAAAACGGGGATTCTTCTGTTCTAGAGATAATAGGTCTGAGACCCTTGCAACTGCAAGCACTCAATAGATCATTCCTAAGGCCTGTTCTAAACACAGTTGTACTTCTATAACTAAAGATGTGACTTTTTAATAACTATTTAGTTAAACCAATATAACATTATATGGAGACTTTCTTAAATCAGTTTAAACTTGGTTTATATCAGTTTAGCTTGTGCCTGTGCACTTAACAGATGCAAACTGAACTGATGTAACTAGTTGTATAAGAGTCCACATACAGAAGGTACATTGATTTAATAAAACCAGTGCGCCTTCTGTGTATAGACTTGTCCCAAGAACATCAGAAATTCTTTCATCTTTCCCTATTTCTCATGTGAGTTTCTCCTTGAAAAGCAATAAGTGAAACAAATATCTAAGATAGCAAATAAATTAAAAAGCAGTCTTTTTGTTCTGTTTCATGCATGTACCAAAGTTGGATGCTGCTCTGTTCTTCAATAGGCCTTGTACTTAATGCATTCTTCAGAGAGAAATTCTCCTTTTCTTGGTTATACTGACAAAAACCTCATTTTAGTCAATGCTATTGTGTTAATGTAATAGGAGAATGTGACCCTTTGTGTATTTGAGTGACTGAGTTTCATTTGGCTTCCGGTTTTTAAATACTGCAGACTTATGCCACAGGCTCTGTACTACAGGATGGGAGTGGTGGCAAAAAAAACAAAACCTTTAATGGCATGGCTCTCTTTTGATTTGACAGGATTTTTAATCTTTGGTATTGGACCTCAGTGGCAGGTACTACTTGTATATATCTCAGTTCTGAGACTCTGTGATACTCGGTTATTGCACAGGCCAAAAGCTTTCCATCACTGCTCAACTTTTACGTTTTCCTCCCTATTGACTAGTAGGGAGTGAGTTTGGGCAAAGGTCAGTAACAGCTATGTCTAATTGCTTTAGCAGTAGACTTGTGAATTAGATTCTGCTATTATTTCCAAGGTAACTGCAAGCAGAATTTGACTTCGTTTGCTTTCCTTGCACAGGAAGAAAGGAGAACTGGAAAATATTTGTTTTTTATTCCAAGAGTTAATTTCAGTAGAGCATTTAATACTTAATAATGGGTTAAGGTGTTTCTGGTAATAAGCAGTGTATATGAATGGTCAGTAGCGTTCTCTGCTTAACCTTGTAACCTTCTTGTAACCCTTTAAAATAAAGATTTGTCTTTTGGTGTCTGGAATCTTCCAGTTAATTTAGCGGGAGTGTCTGATAGTCTCCATTATTCCCTTAGCTTTCTTAGGCAGCAAAATTGATTCATACCTTTCCCAATTACTGGATTCTCCCAGATGCCCTGATGGTGCTTATAAGGGCAATTGGGAGCTTGTGCAGTCCTGCTTGTGGGCGGGGGGGGGGCAAGATTCAAACCCTTCATGCCAGAGACCTGGTACCCAAAGCCATTACGCTAATCTGAGGTCAAATGACAGCTTCTTTTTAAGGCTCCTGTCAGTGACTGATGTAGTCACTGAGAGACTGCACAAAGTATGTTAAATACAAGTATTTTGTTAGCAGTCTCTGAGTATCATAAAATGGCTTAAAAATATCTAGCCCTGTATTAGAGAGATTATTGTTAGCCTGGCTCAAAACTTAAGTTACGCAAAAATACTATCTGGCAGAAACAGTCCAATCTCCAATCCAGTTTGTTATCCAGGTTACGTGTCCAGAAAAGTATATAACTGAGCACGCTTTCCTTATGGACTCTTTGTGTAGCGCAGGGGCTGACACACCGGACCCAATTATCAAACTCTCCAATTACCTAGAAACAGACTCTGCTCAGCTACATTGGATGAAAAGGGCTTGTTCCATTGTAACTGAGAAGAGGAGCATTTATCCTCCTGCAGAATGGATTATATTTTACACATTGCATCTTTTGCTACTCGAGGAGAAGGTACTGCCTTTGAGGTAGGTATTAACTCAATCTTGCATGTGGTTACAAATATAGAGATTTCTGACTTTCCCAAGGTCTCACACAGTCCCATAGGAGAGCCAGAAATAGAGTTCCTACCTCAGGCATGTTGTGAGAATGGCTTGTGAATCACTTTGAGATCATCTAATCCAAGTAGTATTCCTAAATCCTACATCTGCAAGAATCTTCCAAGTCGGGGGTTCTCATGCTCTGGTCCATGGACTATTATTGATAGTGTACTGAGGTGCTTACTCTCATTATTTCCAGCACTCATTCACAGTAATCAACCAAAAATTAAAGTATTTTCCTATTTTCTAGTAAGCTGTTACACTAGCCATGGTGGTGTCTGTTTGCAAGTGGTAAAAAGGATGATTTTTGCACTAATAAGAGGGAAGTGTCTACAAGACCACCTTCCTACTAAAAAGATATCCATCCTATAAAAACTGTCTTAAATATAGCAAAGCACATTGTCTTGCATCCTGATGATGCTGTATAGCTTTTGCAAAGCTTTAGTATTTATACCTAACAGCATGATTAAAATAATTTTGCCTTGTCTGTACGTTACTCATGCAATGCGATTGCAGATTTCTTCTTTACCCAGTTGAAAATCAGATGCCTGTGCTGACAAACTACTTGGCACCTTAAATACTGTGTTTTTTCAAAATGCTCTCCCTCTGGATAATGGGATAGTTCCCTTCCTAATGAGGATATTGTGAGGATTGACAGATTCAAAGCATTACACATGTGTCTGAGAACTTAAAGAAAAGTAGGTGGACAGGGAAAACTGGCATCCCTTTCTTTATTCAGAGCCAGACTCTGACATAATGGTCAAGTGCGGCGAGATTTGAGGTTTGCATGATTGTGTCTGTACTCCATTTCCCAAACAATGCTATATTCCCATCAGGTTAGTACCCCCTTCTGTGTAAATAAGTACACTCAGCCCTTCCTATGCCCTGATCCTGGGGAGTGCGGAGCACTCAACTCTTGCTCATGTATCTTCTCAGGATTGACTCCAAAGAGAGCAAACCCCTCAATTTTTCTCTGTTTAGCAGATTAGGAAAGTCACAGAGAGAGCTGAAAAGCACTTGACTCTGTCTAATCTGTCACTTACTTTTGAAACCAAACTTTAATTAGAATTGGCCTTTCTTTGCTTTCTGTGGAGGCCATGTTAGTGAGTGAGAAGTGACGTCGGCAATGTGAGAGCCTAGTGCGGGAATTATAAACCAGTTTCCAGCCTTCATTAATACAAGTTGGAAAGCCAAAGTAAGCGCTTTAACAATGAATAGTATAAATTATCAGGCTCAGAAAATGAGAGATGAAGAAAACTGTTGCCTGTTCAGTCCACCCCCAGGGGTAACTGCAGGATGGTTACTGACTTCTTCTGATTAGTAAGATAGCAATTTAAATACAATTTACACTTAAAATACAGCTTCCTGCAAGTTCCCAGGGTAAGCACTATTTCCTGCCTTCTGTTAACTGGTGATTACAAGCTAACCACAGAAATAGCAGACTCCTAACAACATACAGTAGGTCATGAGCTGTCTGAGGAAATGTTCAAACTCCATGGAAAAGTACAAATGTCACTCTTGCAATGAATTTTAGCTCTGAGAAAATAAACTGAAATATCAAGTGCAAATTGCTAGACAGCTCTAGATTTTGAGTAATTGGCCATTTCCTGTGACTGGACAAATAGCCAGGGATTTAGTGGGGTTGCCAGTGTAGGCGTATGCACAATGCAATGGCTAACTGGCTGTGGTAGTGAGGAGACTAGTCAATGCAATCTTCTTGCTCTTGGAAGCTAGCCCAGTGGTAGTTTGCTTACCAAGATCCTTGTAGGCAAGTGGTACGACAGTTGGCTCATGTCATGGAATTGCTTCATCTTCCATTGCAATAACAGAGGCTCTTTCTAACCCCCTGCCTCCTGTTTTCTCATTTCTGCAAATCAAACCTTCCTTACTACGTAGTTGCTACAGGTATTTCCCAGCCTAAGTCTGCTTGTTTCTTTTTACTAACCTATGTCTTCAGTTATCAATCTTAAAGTTTTATACTGCCACCCGTCACCATATCGGAGTACCTTTCACATAAAGTAGATTGGCAACAGCTTAGTCCCTGGCAGGATTCATGCAGAGTTTGTCTTCTTCCTTTCTAGGTTATAGAAAGTTTTTGCTTCGAGAAGGATGTGGGGGTATTTTGGTGGAGGGAGGGTGGTTGATACTCTGTGTGTCCTTCTGATTATGGCAGAAAATCTCTTTCAAAGAGGAAGCTTTTGCAGCATTTCCTAAAGATGAGTACAGATTAATCTTGCCTGAGATGTTCCTTCTACAGCCAGATCTCCCCCCCTTCCCCCCCTCAACTGAGAATGCTTTTTCCCCAGTGCTCTCACGTCTTGTCCTTGGCTTCATGATCTGTATTGTCCCAGAGGAGTAAAACTGTCTGGGCAATTCATAGATAGCAATATGGTCTCTAGTGTAGCTGGGACCCTTACTCCTGGGGGAATTCTGCGCAATGCAGAATTTGCAGAAATTAACATAGTGTGGGTGGAATTTCTTCCCTCACAGAAATGGGTTGCAGTGCTCCTGGCT